AGCTTCCTGGGCTTCCTGAAAGTCTATTTCCTTTGCCAGATTGGAGAAGTTCTCCTTTATTATTTGTTCAAATAACTTTCCACTTGTTGCTTTTCCTCTTCTTCTGGTACCCCTATGATTCAGATGTTGGAATGTTTAAAGATGTCCTGGAGGTTCCTAAGCACATCCTCATTTTTTTTTTTTTGAATTCTTGTTTCTTCATTCTGTTCTGGCTGAATGTTTCTTTCTTCCTTCTGGTCTACACGTTGATTTGAGTCCCAGTTTCCTTCCCGTCACTATTGGTTCCCTGTACATTTTCCTTTATTTCACTTAGCATAGCCATCATTTTTTCATCTAATTTGCAACCATATTCAACCAATTCTGCGAGCATCTTCATCACCAGTGCTTTAAACTGTGCATCTGATAGGTTGGCTATCTCTTAGTCGCTTAGTTGTATTTTTTTTCTGGCACTTTGATCTGTTCTTTCATTTGGGCCATTTTTTTGTTTCAGCATGCCTGCTAGCATAAGGGGTGGAGTCTTAGGTATTCACCAGGGCGGGTCAACCCAGTCGCTGTGTTGTGATGCTGTATGTAGGGGAGGAGTCCGAGAGGGGACAATGGCACTTGCTTCACTCTCTGCCAGTTTTCCATCACTTCCCTCACTTCTCACAAGCAAATTGGGTCCTTCTGGTGCTGATTCCCAGTTGGGTGGTTTTGTGTACATTCTAAGACCCTGTGGGTCTCTCCAACAAACTCTCCTGTGAGGCTGGGAGTTTCTCCCGCTGACACCTCAGTTCCCACAGGTGTTTTCAGTGGAGGTTTGAGGCTTTATTTCCCTGTCTGGAATTCTGGGTTGCGAGGTCTGTCTCACTCCCTAGTTGTTCCTGCCAGTTTATCTGCACGCAAATGTAGGACTGCCTGGCCCACCATCCCCACCTTGCTACATGTCCTCTCCACCTGACTGCCCATCTCTGCCCCTCCTACTGTCTGGATGAATGTTTCTTCTTTAACTCTTTGGTTGTCGGACTTCCATACACTTCAATTTCCTGTCAGTTCTGGTTGTTTTTTATTTTAAATTTGTTGTTGTCCTTCTTTTGGTTGTACGAGAAGGCACAGTGTGTCTTCCTATGCCTCCATCTTGGCCAGAAGTCAAAAGTTGCATTTTTCTTCACCTGGTACTTCTCACCCTCCCCACCCCATCCCAACCCAAACTCCTTTTAGCCCTTGTTGGGTTTTGCCCAGCAATGCTCAAAAACATCCCGTCTGAAGGGTTGGGAGAGGAGGGGAAGTGTTTTAACTAGGTTTTCTGTGCACTCAGAGGAACGTCTGAAGGTGGGGAAGGGGCTTGAAAGCTAGATTCACTCTGGGGTTTCTTCTGTTTAAGGAAAGACATTTTGAGTTATTTCAGAATTCCTGCCTTTCTCTCTCAAATGTACTGAGTAGAAGATCTTCAGGGAAGGGCTTTTGTTTCCACAAGAGGGATTTACCTGGCAGGAGTGGCAGGTAGAGTTAGGAGCATAGGTTTTTAAGTTGATGATGTTGGTTAAATTCTGTCTTTTCCCTTTATCAGCTGAGTGACTCTTGACAAGTTACTTGACTTTTCTTGTTTTAGTTTCTTTATCAGAGAAATGGGTAAAATTATTACCCATGATTCCAAAATCCCCCGAAATCCACCCTTGTTGTGTGTGTAACTCATATGGTGGTTAAAATTGACCTGAACAGAAATGAAGTTATTTATGGTCTTTTAAAAAAAATCATGCTAAAAAATAAAAAATAAAAAATTATTCTGAGACTATGAGTACACTTTTTTACTCCAAAAACATTATTTGGTTATGAGATGCTACCCCTGGGGATGTATATAATATACATTGTATATATGCCATTATACCTTCCTAAAACTTGAAGTTTTCTGAATTCTGACACATGTCTGGTTCTATGGTTTTTGAATATGGGATTATAGATCTGATTATTTCAGAGTTTTGAGATTTAAATAATTTTGTAAAGCACTTACAGTGGCTGGCACATAGTAAGTGCTTAATATAAGTTTATTATTATTCTTGCTACACAGGTTTGTGGGCCAGAGTAGCCTCACCTCTACATGTGCTGAAGAAATTCTGCCAATATCTATCCTTCCAGACTTTTCTTTCCTAGATCCATGTTCCCAATCACCATCTGAAGTCACTTAGTAAGTCATCTCTGCTGCTTACCATTATATTCCTAGCACTGCTCACAGCACCTGATCTATAATATAGGTACTTAAAAATATATGCATAATTATATATAATATAAATACATAGCATATTTATTTAGAAATATATTAATATACTAATAATACCAATGTATAATTATATATCAGTGCATTATAATATAATATATACATTATATCAATAATAAATAATGTATGTTTATCTATTACTATAAATAAATATTAATGAATATAAATATATTAATACACACACATATATATTTATCCTCACTGGAGGACAAGCTTATTGATTTTAGAGGGAGGGGAAGAAGTGGAGAGAGGGAGAGAAACAGTGTGAGAGAGAAACATCGATCGGTTGTCTTTCCTATGCACCCTGACTGGCACTGAAACTGAAACCTAGGCATATGCTTTGGCTGGGAACCGAATCTGTAGCCTTGCGATTTACAGGATGATGCTCAACCAACTGAGCCACACCAGCCGGGGGGGTGTGTGTGTAAATAAATAAACACACACACACACACACACACACACACACACACACACACTTGAGCTCAGGAGGGAGGACACAGAGGTATGTGCCTGGGGGAAGGCAGTGGGGGAGAAGGCATGGGTGGGGTGGATGTGGGGTGATAGAGAGGGTGAGAGGGTCAGGGTAAGAGGGTGAGGAAGAAAGAGAGAGAGAGAAAGAGTGAGAGAGGAAGAGAGAGAGTGCTGTATTTTTTTAATGTATAAATGACAAAATTTAGGCTGCTTCTCAGCAGTTATATTCAAGTCACCTTGATTGAATTTTTGTGTGTCACATTTTCTTAACTATCTTCTATAGGGGCTGATTTTTAAAAAAACTTTAAGGGACATGATAGATGTAGGTTTATTATTTAGTCTCTAGTATAAATTTATTTATTTAAAAATAACAGTTTGTTGAGGTGTAATTCACATAACATAAAATTCACCATTTAGAGTATATAATTCAGTGGTTTTTAGTACATTCAGAGTTTTGCAACCATCACCACTATCTAATTTAAGAACATTTTCATCACCCCAGAAAGAAACCCTGTATCCATTAGCATTAATCCTCCACTCTCCTTACTCAAGCCTACAGGGAATAATCTTATCTCTAACATTTTAATGTTCCTAATTTCATTCTTGGATGATAACCTGATCTTGAGTTTGGGGAAGGTAGTCATATTGTTATTTGTTCCATGTCTTAATTACAGTACAATATGTAGTTCCCAGACTCCCTCAAATCCTAGGCTGATTTCAACTACTCTCTTCTCTGGCAAACAGTTGGAGAATGAATGGTAAGCAAAAGGGGGAGAAGCAGAGGAGGGCTTCTCTTAGGGGTGGATGCCTCATGTTTCTGTCTTAGCTGTTTTTCAGTTACTGCATTTGTCTCAGAAATACCCAATTGCCTCATTCTGTATCATGACACACAGGTTGTAACCTGCCCTTTGAAGCTATATTTCTAATAGTGTAGTGATTGAAGAGCAGGCTCTGAAGATAAACTCTCTCAATTCAAAATCTGGGATTTTTGTGTCTCAGGTTTCCTTAGTTTATATACCTATATACTGGGTATAATAATAGTACCTATTGTTTTGAGGATTAAAATGAAAAATAGATGTAGAATGCTACATACTCTTTGGGCCATCACTGCCCTCTGCCTCCAACTTAAAAACTTGGAATTTGATGATCCTTGAAGGAAAAAAGAATTTTATACCTCTATGACTTACCTCCATTCTTGCCTCTCTGATGAACTCCCACTTATATTCTGCAAGGATAGATGAAATTTCACCTGTAGCTTACTCAATCTTCCTTACTTCTAAGAACTAATTGCTCCTTGTGTTTCTATCTCACATTGAACACCTTCTGTTAACAGCAATTGCATTGTACTATAATAATTATTTTTTACCTACTGCAGTTCTTGTCGCATAGTAAATATTTAATGGTCAAATTCTATCATTGTAAGACTATGATGTTTTTTTGAGGTTGGTAAATGATCTAAATACCAGTAACCAATAACAGATAGATTGATTCTCCCTAGGAGAGACAGAATGGGGGAGTTTGCAAATTTAAGATGACTCAAGAAAAAGAACTGTATTTTAGGGGGTGGTGGTAAGAAGCGATTTTAATAGGATGGATTTCAACCTGCTTTAGTTAGAATTAAGTTTTCACACCTAGAAAAAATGAACATTTACCTACTACATGATCTTTATCCATTGATATTGCACATATTTATTGTAAACATGCCCTTTTGGGCGCAGGAGTTGCTATCCTAAGTCAAAGGCTTGTTTTGAAAGTGCTCTGTAAATTTACATTTAGTTACTAGTATTACGTTTAAATCTAGGGTGAATCTGACAAGCTTGATGGGTTTAAGGTGGACTAAGGCTTTCAGTAGATGTGAATCGATAGCTTGAGACACAGATACAGAGGGAGCGAGTGAATGAGGCAACGAGTATGCTCGCGTGTACCAGCTGGGTGGGTGGGCGAACAGATAGGGGGCGTCTGCAGACGTGGAGAGGCTCAGGGGAAGCACAAACGCGCGAGGAGCGCAGGACGTGGTGACGATACGCCGGACGTGGTGACGTAGCGCGCAGGCCGCAGCGGGGGGCGGACTCTGGGCCTTTCTTCCCCTTCTGATTTCCCCCCTCCCCCCTTTTCTCCCTTTCCGGGTTTGGTTCCCCCCTTTTCTCCCCTCTCCCCCTCCTTCCCGAGCCCCTTTCCCCTCCCCAGTCCCCCTGCTCCCCTGCCCAGGGCCCTGGGTAAACCCCCGCTGAGAAGAGCCCGCCCCCAGAAGCGCGCCACCGCTGGCCGTCGGGGCCGAGCCGCAGCCGAGCGGCCGTGGGCCCGGGCGGCGGGCGGAGACGGGGGCGCCCTCCCCCCACGGCCCGCGTGAGGTGAGGCCACCTCCCGGCCGAGTGCGGATGGCACGGGCGGCCTGTGGGGAGGGGGCGTGGCGGCCGCGCGGACTGGCAGGCCAAGGTCCTGGGCCTGGGTTCCCTGCGCTGGAGCTGCCCAGGCCGGGGGTGGTGGGATGGCTGGAACCTCTGGTGAGGACGGCTGGGAGACTAGAGAAATCCCGAGTATGTGGGGAAAGCGCAGGCGAAAAGCGGGGAGTGTGTGTGTGGGGAGGTGGTTGCGGGGTGGAGGGCGGTGGGGGGGGGGGCTGGCACCACCTGTGGCCTGTGCAGTGGGACCTAAAAACTGTTGCGCCCTTGTGGTGTGTTTGGGGGTGACTAGCTGCAGGTGTATCCTGGGACTCCTTTTTCCTTCGAGCATTGGGAAAATGGGAGGGAAAGGTGTTAGAGTGTTTCAGATCATTCCGGTGTTTATGTGGGGATGGAGATTTGAGTTGAAACATGCAGGGAGATGTTTCTGGAGCTTAAAAGTTGGGCCTGCACTGAGCCCAAAACTCACTCGAGCCTCTGAAAACTTACCGATTTCGGTTTGCTGTAGAGCCAAAAATTTTCTACATTTGTAACCGTTAACCTAGAAGTTCCACAGAATATTTATTTACTCACAGTGAACTGATCTTGTATAATGATAAGAAATGACTGATAACAGCCCCAGAGGTTCATTAAACCAAAGAAAGGTGTGGGAAAATTTAAAATAAGATCCCAGTTGGACGAATGTTCTTGTATATATTTTTTCCAATAGACAACTAAAATTGAGAAGCCTGAATTCTGGTTGTTGGTGGGAGGCATGGGAACTGGGAAGGAGAGAAGTGACAGGTTCCACTTCGAAAATGTCACAAATTCCTAGCATTTTACTGCATTTTTGTATAGTCATGTTGGCACTTAAATTAGCTTTGTGGCTCTTCTTTCTTACTAATGCTTTTTTTTTTTTTTTCATTTTCTTCCTCCAGTATTTTCTTTTTTCCTCTTTGTGGAGCCTGGGGCATCAACACAAAAGTTTAGTGGCAGAAAATGATAGGTTAGGTTAATTCAGTTCACTCTTCAGTTGTGTTTTTTCCTCCTGTTGCTGTTCTCCACAGGTTTGAGATAACTGAGAACCTTTCTTGAAGGTCTGATGAACTGTCAACAAGTCAAATTTCAGAGTTGCAGTTCCAGCTGTCTTTATGTTCATTATATGATCTATACTGTAGATCGCCACAATTTGAAACAATTTTAAAAATTTGCATATATAAAAGCAGGGTGCCTGCTATTCTTTAATAGCAAGGAGTCAGAAGAAGAGATGGCTTCTTTTTTCTCTCAGCATAGAAACCACAGACTTTACAGTTGCCTTTAAAGTCCTAGATCTGAAGCACCCTTTTGCCCTCAGTGTGTGCAGTGATCTCCTGGCTGTTCCTTGAGCACACCAGGCGCATTTCTGCCTCAGGGGCTGTGCACTTGATCCCTGGATCACCTTTTTCTTACACAGCTGCACAGCCTTGTGCCCTCAGCTCCTCAGATCTTTCCTCAAATGTCACTCTAACAGTGGCATACATTTACTTAACTCCCTATCCCATTATCTGTTTTATTTTTCTCCTTACCCCTTATCAGCCTATAACATGCTAGATCTTTAGTCTCCCCCATTGGAAAGTAAGCTTCATGAAGTCAGATTGCTAATAACTGTGTCCTTAACACTTAACTTAGCAGTTGTTATGCAGTCAATGCTCAACAAATTTTTTGACTGAATAGGTAAAGAAGAGTTTATTCTTGAACTATCTCACTGTCATGAATTTCTGGTCATGATTGGTTGTCCTTGGAGGTGTGGAATGGATTTTCACTAGGATTTTGTAAATTATTTATTAGAAGAAATTGAGATTTTTTTTTTTTTTGGTCAGTTGTCACCTCATTTCTCTTGATAGAAGTCTTGTGCTTTCAGATCATTGAATGAAAGCACTTTGAGGGCAGAGAGGATGAAGTTTGAGGGATCTTTGGCATTGGTGGTCTTTCTTAGAGGAAGATTATCTCAGATCTGATGTGGCTTGATTTTTACCAACCGCTTCAGGCTCTTCCCTTGAGGTTTGTTCACATTCCTGATGAGAGATCACCTCCTTACCTCTTTGGCCCCAGAGAGCTGAGGAGGCTGGTTCCACTTTGAATTTTTCAGTAGACTGAAGATATTAGTATTTATAGCCTGGGCTATATGGATTTGATGCACTTCCCCCTGCCCCTTCATTTATGTAGATAGTTGAGCTCAAAAACTGTAAGAATAGCTTTCTCTAACAATGGTGGAGTGTTCAGTTATGGGGAACATCTGATCCTTTTTTTCACAAATCCATTTTAGGGGCATTTTTAGCAACTAAATTCTATATTAAGTCTGAGGATAAAAGGAACTGGCCCCCTGAGTTCTGTGGATTATCCCTCATTTATTTTATCCTTTCTTGTTTCTTGATTGATGCATTTGTTACCTTCCTTGACCTTCTGGCCAGAGTGACCTGGATGAGATTTCTCTTTGGGACAGTCCTGGCCACTGTTCTCCAGCTTAGGAAGGCAAAGGGGTGAGGTAGTCCTTTTAAGTCTCTGTAGGAATGCTGGTGGCAAAGTCTAAGGTTTTTGCTTAAACTTTGCCCCAGGACATTGAAAGCTGCCAGGCTAAAGAGAGAATGGGGTGTGTGTGTGTGTGTGTGTGTGTGTGTGTGTGTGTAGGATGGGGGTGCGGGGGGGCGAGAATTGGAGATCTTGTATCGGACTAGATCTGATTTGGATACTATTAATGTAAAGAAGTAACAGCATCAGAAATATACTAGTACTCATTTTGCAGATAATTTCAGAAATAATTTAGGCAGATTGATAAAAGCTTCTACCAAAAACTGTTGTCCACTTTTAAATCCTTTCACAAAGTTTCCAGGAAATCTTTCTTAAGCCCCAGAGATACATAACTCTGCGCCATGTTCTCACCTCTTACAGATAAATACTGAGTACTGACAATAGTTCAGTGTAGGTAATGGTTTCTGAATGCTGCACTGTTAATTCCTGTGCCAGCTCTCTTCATGAACTCAAGAAAAGCTTTCAGGAAAAAGATTTGGGGGAAGTGATAAAAATTGTTGCATTTTGGTTGCATGGTTGCCAGAAGTGTGGAGGAGAGAATTATGTGAAACTGTGTGTGTGTGGCAGGTTGGGGGGGGGTGGCGGTTAAGATTTTTCTATGCCTCCTTGTAAGATTGGATGAGGGACTCTTGAGTGTTCCTCTGTGGAATGTGCTGCCAGCTTACAAGTAGGAAAAATAACTGGACTCATGGCTTGAATATGTGTGCATGAATACAGTTGGCGGGTCTAATTTTAGAGACCTTCTTCATACACAGTGGCCTCAGGATTTTCCTCCAGCTGTATTCTTCTCACCCTCTTTGTAGAAAGCATTCCACTTATTGGTCTTTTACGGGTTAACTTTTGTTCTTACCATGGTTGCCCTATAAGCAGTATAGCACCTGTTCCATCTCTCCAATGAAGTTACTTTGTCCACTGCTTCCTAAGTCTGAGTTTATTTCTGTTAACAGATACAGATAGGAAAGATTTCATAACCTTAATTTGTTTTGACTCCTCTTTGAATTCCTTATATTTCCTTAGCATATTATCTGTTTTCTCCAACACTTTAAAAAATTAATGTAGAAAGCCCTTAATTATAATAATCTGCAGTGATTTTATTATTTTTTTTAAAGAAGCTTTTTTAAAAAGATTTTATTTATTTATTTTTAGAGAGGGAAGGGAGGGAGAAAGAGAGAGAGAGAGAGAGAGAGAAACATCAGTGTGCGGTTGCTGGGGGCCGTGGCCTGCAACCCAGGCATGTTCCCTGACTGGGAATCGAACCCGCGATGCTTTGGTTCACAGCCTGCGCTCAATCCACTGAGCTACACCAGCCAGGGCTGATTTTATTATTTTTACTTGGGTTGTATAAAAGGAAAGATTCTAGGATGCTTCCTAAATCGAGGTGTTCTTTTTGCTTTTCTGCAGGATATCTTGTGAGTTGTTTAGTCCAGGTGTTTGTGCCCATACTGGGAAAGCTGTTTCAGCTTTCTTGTTTTGACAGTAAGTTTTCTAGAATACTTTCCTGTGCTAAAAAACAAAAACAAAAACAAAACAACCCCATCAAATTGGGAGCGCCTGGCCTAGAGTGAGTGAGAGTAAGGAGAAAATGTGCAAAAGCTTTAGATAGTCATGTCTTTCAGTAGTCAAAACACTTTTTGTATTTTTAAAGGACTCATTTTATTCTATTTCTCTTTAGTTTGTTAACCACAAAAGCATCAAAAATCACTTCATTTCCTTTAATTGCTTACTTAATTGTCATACTGTGACTTTTCTGAATTGTCAAGAACTTCATTTTTTGGGGGGGGAATAATTTTCAGGCCTTTTTGGGTATTTTGGGGGGGAGGGGGAGAAATGAAGCTAGTTGTTAAATGTACTGGTAAGGTCTCTTCCTTAACTTGGACCAATGTTTTGATTATTTCATTTTTCTATAGGTATGTTTCAATAGCTTCAATGTTTCAATAGTAGGTATGTTTCAATAGTTTCAATGTTTCATACTATTTCATTTTTCAATAGTATGTTTTACAGCTCTTTTTTTAAACATAGAAGACCTCAAAATCTTTTGCAAGCAAATAAAAATTATAGTTTTGCACCCATACAGTTATTCTGAGGTCTTTATCCTATAGAGTGAGAAGTATAAAGGTAAGAAAGTTAATTGGCAGGATTTAAGAGACCTCAGATTATTTATTTTTTTCTAAATTATATTTTATTGATTATGTTATTACATTTGTCCTGATTTTTCCTCCTTTGCCCTCTTCTACCCAGCAGTCCCCTTCCCTCAGGCAATCCCCACACCATTGTTCATGTCCATGGATCATGCAAGATTCTTTAGCTATTCCCTTTCCTACACTGTACTTTACATCCCCACAGCTATTCTGTAACTACCTATTTGTACTTCTTAAACTCCTTACCTCTTCACCCATTCTCCC